GTGATCCAGCCTCCCCTCCCATCAGAGTTCAGTAACCAGAAGAGGATATCTGCCCCAGCCTAGGGCAGGCGTTCTCTTGTGGCAATACTGAATAGGGGAACCCAGAGGCTAAGGGATGCTAGCACTGAGTCTCATCATTGACTGAGAATCTTACACTTACTTGCTGCTGCTGGCCCCAGAAATGCTCTGCTTCTTGCTCTTCTTAGGTCTTGACTGCTCAACTTTTCTTGGTTTTCATGAGATTTCCTAGTAGCTTTACAGTAAATTCTTCACTTAAGCCGCCCAGAACAGTTTTCTATTACTTATATTCCAAGGTACCTTTTTTTTTTTTAAAGGATCCATTCAACTTCCAAATTCTATTGTTCTGTGATTTATTTTATTTTATTTTTATTGTAGAGATGGGGTCTTGTCAAGTTGCCCGGGCTGGTTTCGAACCCGCAGGCTCAGACAATCCATTCACTTCAGCCTCCCAAAGTGCTGTGATTACAGGCTGAGCCACTGAGACCAGCTATTCTGTGATATAATGGTGCCTGTTACTCTTCAACAGAGATTAATTGTAACTTGAGTACTGAAGACCACAGACTATTGGCAGCTTTGGCATTGGTAGGTGACTGCAATTTTGGCAGTCTCTACATTGATGAAAATTAGAGATATTCCTTTAATAATATCAGGTGTTTAATCTGTAAATTTGTACTTGTTTTCCATGGAAGACATTTTTAGTTTAACAGTTTATATTAGAGGTATGTATGACATTTATAGAAAAGGATTTCAGTTTCCAGTGCAAGAAATAAATGAGCCAAGTCAGATTTTCCAAGACACAATATCAAAGGCACTATTATTAGATACATGCTGAGTCTAAAGAGTTGAGTGTATATTTGAACTGGTTTATCACTTAAGTCTCATGTATTGACTGAATTTAGGGAGTATTTTGAGGGCAATTTGTGCTCTCTAGTTAATTCTCCTTGATAATTCTGAACATTAAAAAGGTTGAACTCAAATTATACATATTTTGTCCTAAATGTTATCTATTACTATAATATAACTTGATATAGTGTGAATATCAAGTGCCTATCAAAGTAACTTTAGAATGAAAATCCCTAAAGTTTAGAAGTGCAATTGGTCTCTTTAATATGAAACTTCCTAATCATGGATGATTTACGGTCCTTTAAAAAAACTCAATAGCACAGTAGGGTGACTATAGCTAATAACAATATATAACTATATTTCAAAATAGCTAGAAGAGAACATTTGAAATGTTACCAATACAAAAAATGATAAATGTTCAAGATAATGAATATCCTAAATACTCGGATTTGGTTATAGCATATACGCACATATCAAAATGTCACATGTATATGTATAAATATTATGTATTAATGAAAAATACAATAAAATAGATATTGTTATGGATTTTCCAAAGTGAAAGGCATGCCGCTCAGTGGATAGAAAGCAGTATTGCAGGGAAGAAACAGCTAGGATTGCATTTATGATAGTGAGTTTCAGGATGTTGCTAGCTTGAACCAGGGAGACGGACAAGTAAGCTGAGACTAAGAAGGGTTACAGGAGTTGTTCTAGAATTAATAGGATGATTAATATCACTGGCATGACCATAATATTTGTATTAATAGAGGGGCATATGGTTGAAGAGAGCATTCATTCCTTTATAACAGTAGCTCTGAACCAGGGATGATTTTGTGACCCCCATTCCCAGGAGTCATTTGGCAATGCTAGATCCATTTTTGTTGTCAAAATTGGTGTGTGGGTGTGCACTATTGGCCTCTAATACCAGGGATACCACTCAACATTCCACAATGCATAGGACAGTCCCCCACAACATAATTATTGAGCCCAAAATGTCAATAATGCTGCTCATGAGGAACCTGGTTTATAAAAATTCATTTCTTATGTTTTTGAACTAAAAAATTCTTTCAATAGGCTTCGTAAAAACTCTTTTTTTTTTTTCCCTGTGGTTCCAGCTACTTGGAAGGCTGAGGTGGAAGGTCAAAACTCTTTTGGACAAGTTAATATAATTAGACCAGTTTTGCTTCCTAATGGATAAACTATACTTTGTAGTTTGGATTCATTTTATCAGCAATGATTATGTAATTTGGCAAATCTCTTCCAAAGGTCAGGAAAAGTAGGAATTTTCAAACAAAATATTCCCAAATCTTGCCTTTCTTTCTTACCAATTCAAAGCTTTCCCTCTTTTTATTACCCGTTTCTTTCTACTATGCTCCATTTTAATAGACTAAATAAGCCAAGCACTGGCCAGAATCAAATGTGGTGAGCACATTTAAAATTTAGATAGAACTTTTTTTTTTGGTGAGATTACTATTTAATCTCCCTTAGATCTCTTTTTAAAAATTTCTTTGGGTTCTAGGCAGATAGGGCCAAGCTTATTTTAAGAGTTTTGAAATGAAACAAATTTCAGATTATTTGTAGCATCTGAGATGATTCATTCTTTTCTGTTGAAATTAATGTTTGAGGTAACCAAAGTGCTTGATTTATCTTCTTTAAAAAAATATGACGGCCGGGCTCGGTGGCTCAGCCTGTAACTCTGCGCTTTGGGAGGCTGAGGTGAGTAGATTGCCTGAGCCTGCAGGTTCGAGACCCGCCTGGGCAACTTGGCAAGACCTCATTTCTACAATAAATC